TTTTTGTTCTCATTACTGTAAGTGTACGAATGGTGAAGGAAGTTTTTGTTGTAAGTATTGTAATCTTAAAGCTGCTCTGTGTAACATTTTGGTCGGTGGTTCGTCACCTGTTTGATGTAACTGCTGCCTGAACAATTCTACTTGACATTTATTCACTTACGGGTGGTTTTACAGCTCAAAAATACCTAGAAAAACAAACATTGTGACTGTGAGTGGGGTCGCCTCTCCACAGATCTGAGCTGTAACTTGGTCTGGTTTGGTCTCCATGAAGATAGAAAGGTTTTTAATGCCATACTGTGAAACATTCCAGACAAACCAATAACATCTTCATGGAGAAAAACATTTGACGGACCCTCCACCAGAAAAGTTGCACAGTGCAGCTTTAAATAAGTTACAATAATCATGAAGTGCTGAAATAAAAGCATAAATTATCTTTTCTTTTGGTTTGGAGCAGAGATAAAACTTTGGAAGAAAATTTTGCTTAATTTTCTTTTTTTTTTTTGGCGGTAAAAGGTGCATTGTCTGGCGGAGGGTTTCTCAAACGCTTTTCTCCATTGAGATGCTATTGCTTTGTCTGGAATGTTTCACAGTATGGCATTAACCCCTTTCTATCTCCACACCAGACCGAGATCAGATCTGTGGAGAGGCGACCACACTCAGAGTCACAATGTCAGTTTTTCTAAGTATTTATGAGATATAAAACCAGCAGTAATTAAATAAATGTAAGGTAGAACTGTTTAAAGTCACACTGTGGAACATTCCAGGCAGAACAATGACATCTCCATAGAAACAAGCAGGTGACAGACGCCCAAACCAAAAAGTTGCACAGTGCACCTTTAAATAACAATGCTACTCCAAAGGAATGTTCTCAAAGGGCTGTGGCAATAATACAGGAAACTACATGCTGTGTTTGAACCACGCCCCCTCCATGTTGAAATTGATTTTGTAGTTGAGGTTTTGAAAGCAAACTGTCACCTGAGCTCTGTGAAGTCCAGGGTGTGGGCCGTGAACACACAAAAAAATGAACGGAATACATTTAATCAGATAGTTTTCTCACGTTCAGACATTTTTCCACTTTGAAATGTTATGTTCACTTCAGATTTTATCCTCCTGTTTATTTGGAAAAGAAAAGCCAAAAGATCGTACAACTTTGAAGAAATGTAAACCTTCCGTCTATGGAATTTTTTGTTTGGAGGTCTGTCGCTCCCTAGTTTCTATCGAGATGCTGCCTGGAATGTTCCACAGTGTGACTTTAAACAGCTCTATCTTATATTTATTCAGTAACAGTTGGTTTAACTTTACAGGTTTGATCTCCATGAAGACAAAAAGTTTAATTCCATATGTGAAATATTCCAGACAAAGCAATAACATTTTCATGGAGAAAAGCATTTGACAAACCCTCCCTCAGAAAAGTTACACAATACACCTTTAGTACAGTTGGGTTAACCATATGTCAATATGGAGCTATGACGCTGTACTCAGTTCAACTTCCAACACAAAGTAAATATGATTCCGTCACTAATGGGAAACTACAAACAGAATCAGGTTAAACATTGACACGTCGATGATAGGCCTGTGACGATAAGTAATAAATCAATTAAACATACAATAACTTTTAACGAGCTCGATAACTTTTCCGGCTGCGATAAATTGTATTTGCATGTTTGTTTGTTTTCCTCGCTCTCTCTCTCAAAGAGACTGAATGTTAGAAGGCTTCTGTCGCTCTCTGACTCCTCTCGTTTAACAAGTGCAGTGTCGCTTGAACCAACGTGCACGGTGTTTATCAACACAGCGGATCCGCGTGCAGCCTGAGTGCAGAAAACGCCGCTGTCTGTGCGGAGAACATGAAGCCACAACACAAGCGCCGCTGTCAGAGTGACAAAACACAGTGACAGTTCCTCGCAGTGTGACAAAACAAGTCACGATGCCGAATCAACACAAGTGGGACACGTCTCACCAGCCACGTGCGTCAAATTCAGCGAGCGCGCAAATGACGAGAAGAAATGTCTTAAACCCCAACAGCCGATAAACCCAAACCCGTGCGACACAACTAGCGCCGCCCCCCGGAGAACCCAAAATCCACTGAAATCCCACAGGACACTGACACGATACCAGACAGAACAGAGCTCCGTCAGAGCGAAACAGGATCCTGTGTCGTGGTTTAATACAAACACTTCAAGACCAAAATGACGAGGCCACAGCAGCAGCCACAGAGAGAGTGGCCAGTATATACCAAAGTAAGTCAACGACTAAAATCACTTTTAAGGGCAATTTTGTTACAGAGACTTAATAATCCATTTTATTTATTGCTTTGGTTGTATTTGGTTCAACAGTGGTTTATTCAAGTGGATTTTTGTGAACAAGTCATCGCTGTGAGTCAGACACATTAGACTAGTCCTATGTTAAGTCTGTTTTATTTAGGCCTGTTGTTTTTGTTGTCTTACACTTCCTGTGTTAAATGTTCTTTAGAAAGTAAGGTTCATTGATCTTTGAAAAGGATATATTTTCATTTTTATTGAATGGTCATTATAATAGTTGAAATTGGTCTCAAAATGTCAATATTATCGTTTATCGCAATAAATTCTTGGTCAATTAATCGTCCAGCAAAATCTGTTATTGTTACAAACCTAATCAATACTATAGGCTCAGAACTAGAGCTGGTGTGAACCTCTGCTTAACAAAAGTATAATTTACTTTTCCATTGATGTATTTCAACTAAAGATCGAACAATAACCGAAATATAGTGATACTGTGTCATCAAAAGTCTCACAATAACATCGTGGACCATCACAACATATCGAATTACAAGTCGCTTTGCTTAAATAAAGAGTTATGGTGATGTTCATGTCTTTCTTTGTGATTTTAATGTCTTTCATATTCTGTAAATTACTTTGAATTACTTTGTGTATGAACTGTGCTATACAAATAAACTTGCCTTGCCTCACTATGGTGCACCATTAGCTAAAAAACAACATAGGAAACTACATAGACCATGATCCTTTGCATCTTTAAATCTGAATTCGTCGGCTGATGACAGAACTAAACACTTGTCGAGGCATTTTAAAAGTTGTCCTTTGAAAATGCCCCGACAAGTGTTTGGTTCTGAACATAATCACAATTAGCCTCCACAAAATATCACAACAAATATCACACCTACTACTACTACTACTACTACTACTACTACTACTACTACTACTACTACTACATTTCTATATACTAAATCCAAGGTACTATGATAACAGATACTCCAACAACAACTACTATTTCACATCACAACAACTGCAACATATTACAAATGTTCTTGTCACTACTACTACTACTACTACTACTATTATTACAAAATTAGCACAGTTTACAAGTACTAAATTCAACGTACTATGATTACAGACACTCCTACAACTACTATTTCACATCACAACAATTGCAACACATTACAACTGTTCTTGTCACTACTACTACTACTACTACTACTACTACTACTACTACTACTACTACAATTCTATGTACTAAATCCAAGGTACTATAACAGATACTCTGACAACAACTACTATTTCACATCACAACAACTACAACATATTACAAATGTTCTTGTCACTACTACTACTACTATTACTACTACTATTACTACTACTACTACTACTACATTTCTATATACTAAATCCAAGGTACTATACTCCGACAACAACTACTATTTCACATCACAACAAATGCAACATATTACAACTGTTCTTGTCACTACTACTACTACTACTACTACTACTACAAAATGGGCACAGTTTACTAATTCTTCCACCCTACCAAAGGGGACCACACCCGAAACTGCCTGAAGAAATTCCTTTCCCGCTCAAGTGTCATGAGGGAGCAGCCCTCCTCCTCCTCCTCCTCCTCCCTCTCATCCACCTTTTTCTCAGGAGACCAAGCCCTCCCATTCTGAACACACAGTGGGACTCTGGCTGCCTGGTGCTCCCATGGGTGCTCCTCCTCACTCACACTACGCTCTATGTAAACAGAGACCGGTCTGACAGCTCATTCACACATACACAACTGAACAACAGGGTGTAGTGTTACAAGCCCAAAAAATAAATACAAACTAAATCATCACAACGAGCAATAAAAGAAAACATCACAGACATATATACACATTTGATAGTGCTGCAAAAAACGTTAACCAGCTACTCAGTGATTATTTTTATAGGTTTTTTCTATTATAAATTCAGATTTAACGCATTTTAAAACAAATAAAGGTTAAAATGTCATGACTGAATGCTTCTAGATAAAGAATGTTTACAATTATATCTGTTTAGTCCGACTATTATGATCACAAATGATTATTCCAATGAATGGCCGGATGCAGTTTGTATTTTTTGTAAACATTTAAAAGTAAGTTGATCATCCTCATGCAATTAATCAACTATTTGAGTTACAAGTAGCAAAAGATAAAAATATGAGGAAAAAAAAAACAAAATTCCACAAAATATTTGGTTAATATAGGTATTATGAGTTATTTCTATTGGAAATTTAGATTTTCAACACATTTTCAACCAAATAACGGTCAAAATGTCACGACTGAATACTTCTAGACAGAGAATGTTTACAATAATATCTGCTTAGTCCAACTATTACGATCACTAACGATCATTCCGATTAATCGCCGGGTGCAGAGTTTGTATTTTCTGTAAACATTAAAAAGTAAATTGATCATCGTCACCTGACTGATCAACTATTTGAGTTACAGGTAGCAAAAAACGAATACGAATAAAATAACGGAAATGTCACGAAAATATTTGGTTAATGCAGCTATAATGAGACTTGATGTGGCTTCAATTAAACTCGTTTCAGTGTAATTAGCCAAAGCAGTGGACATGAAGTCAAATGTATCTGGAGAAAATGAAAATGACACGGACGAAGCTGCGTACAGTAAACAAGGACACGTTTTGTATGACACTGGAAACAAGTTGACGGAAGTGTTGGGGTTTGCAGTTTGACGGATGGGCCTGTACCTTGTCCCCGGGGCGACGATACTTCTTCGGGGGTTGTTGGAAGAGACAGTGGGTCTTCACGAAGCCATTTTTAGTCATTTGCTTCCCGTTGGAGGTCCGATAACAGCCGTCCCCGATCAGTTTGTTCGGCGAGCTTTCCGTCATGTCCGAAAGCCGGTAGTGTGCGCGGATGATGTTCGGTGGAATTGAAATGAGACAACTTGAGTGTGGCTAATCGTGAAGTCATGTATGAGGAGAAGACAGCTTGCGACCGCTTGCGACGCCCACTCTACCCGCGTCCCATTTCTCTCACATTCTCTTCTTGCCGCCTTCTCTCTTCGCTTCCTCGCGTCTAAACCCCACCCAAAAATCAAAACAGCCAATAGCGTGAAATCCTAAAAATATCCCATTGGTCTTTCTAGCCTATGGGCGGGGTTAGCGGTGTAGGAATCGAGGAGTTAAAGCGCCGAGGAGGTACGTTTTCAGAAATCGGATGCAGCCCCAGCGCAGTGACCGCAGAGTCGTACCGGAAACGCCCGCCCAGATTGAACGTGATTGGTCCATACCTAAGATCGCTTCTGTTAACACAACGCATCGCTCTTAACAAATTTGATGTGTCGAAATAACCGGTTAATTTGTTTCTAACCGCGTAATGATTGGTGATACATAAAAATGCGGTTTGGATAGAAGTCGTAGGATACTTTTCTGTTTGTTTGTGTTGCCTGTTTCTATTCTTGATTGAACGCTCCGTTCTTACACGGCTCTCTGCTCACCTTTTCTGCGCGACGTCACTCCCTCCTCGGCGTGGGACGTCCTAAAACCATTCCATGGAAATAACCCGTAATGATCCCCTGTGGTGTTGTGTGACTCCCCGTGTCCAGTGACGCCGTTTCTCACCTGCGCGAGGCCAACCGGGGGTCAAACTTTATTCAGTAATTTGGTATTTCCGGTCACACTTTATTTATTACGCCCTTTTCTCATCTGTGTTCTGATGTTTCCTCATCACACACCTGCAGTGTTGGGGAGTAACAGATTACAGGTACCAGAGTTACATAATCAGAGTACAAATTATGAGTAACTGTATTCAGTTACAGTTACTGTTTCAGTGAGAGGTAATTGGATTACAGTTACTTTGTTGAAATAAATGGATTACATGGTGGTATTTTCCTGTTTTCACATTTTCACATTTTGGGCTAATATCCCACGTCTCCTTCCGTACTGCGTAGGCATCACCGTTCTCCTGTGCGCCTCCAAACCAGAACTAATGCAAGGACTAAAACCAGGACTAAACCAGGACTAAAACCAGGACTAAACCAGGACTAAAACCAGGACTAAACCAGGACAAAACATCTTATATTAAGATTTCCTGATCTTTGCTTCTCTACAGTAAACAGTTGCTTTTTCATGGAGACTTGGGCTCAACAGACAATTTGAAGAGAACAAACAAGAATTTTCAGGATGTGGTTGCTACATTCATGTAGTTTTAAAAAGCCTGACCATATCAAATAATCCAAAGTATTCAGATTACATTACTCACCTAAAGTAATTTAATGGATTACGTTACAAACTACATTTTGGGGTATGTAATCTGTAATCTGTAAGGGAATACATTTCAAAAGTAACCTTCCAACACTGCACACCTGGAGTTGTGTTTCGTTGCATCCACACAAACCCTGCACATTTAGGCTGTGTTTTGTTTCTTTTTCTCAGCCAAAAAAACACTGTTCCACCTTGTGATGTCATATAGTGATATTTATATTACCATATTATATTAATATTCATATGTTTATATTTATTACTTATTTATTCTATTTTATTTTGACTTGTACATACACACATGGTTCCCTCGGTCATGGAAATCCTAGAAAAGTCATGGAAATTGAAAATGCCATTTTTCAGGCCTGGAAAAGTTATGAGATTTTGTAAATTCAATGATAGTTTTGGAAAAGTCATGGAATTTTAGTTTCTCTTTCACACAACCTTGACAGGAGAGATGAACTGAATCAGGCTGCAGCACCTGTTGTCCCTGGACAGGTTCATTGACTGTATTATTTCTAAATGTCTGCGCCTCTTATTTAAAAGAGACGACAATAAATGCACTGACAAGATTTTGAATGTTCTAAAACTATAATCCCAAACTATAAGGTGAGTGGAAAGACTAACATTTCAGATTTAACTCTTAAAGTCTGATCAGTTCTACACATGAAGGTGCTACTTATTTAGAATTTATTGTTACTGTATATATTTTTTTACTCTTTATATTGTGATGTGTGAGCTTCTGTGTCCAAACTGTTTCCCTTGTGGATCAAAAAAGTTTGTCTAAGTCAAAGTCTAATTCCAATGTGTGTCCCAAACTTTTATTTGTGCACAGATGGCAAATACATTTCCTGAATCTTGAATTATGAATAAAAAGAAAACTTTACAACAATATTCTAAATAAGAACTATGCCTGCTCGCAAATAAAGGTCATGGATTAAGATTTGGGGATATGGTGATAAAAACTGAACTGTGATCTGTTATTTTGGTCGTATCATGTCTAAAGTAAAACCAGAAGTGCTCCACTGAGTTTTCCAGTTAGTCCTTCTCACTTTTGTTCACCTGTCGATGACAGGTACCTGAAAATGGCCTCTTTAAATCCATTTTGAAATTCTTCTTGAGTTTCAGAACTTTTTTGGCAGAGTTTACTAATGTGTGCATTGTGTCACCATGGTAACTGCGGAACATTCCACGGCAGTGATACACACAGTAAAATAACATACATATTTGTGGACAAAACACGTACTCATTGCAGGATTTCAGATGACATCACAACATTTTACACAGCAAAAAGTCGAGTATTAAAATTGCCAAAATGAAGAGATTTAAAATGCTGATTTTTCTTATAATTCAGGGAGTTCTTGGGTCTAGTCAGTAACAGAAAAGATCAAGTCAAACATTTCCCTTTTGGACATGTCCTGGCAAAGTACAATGTTGGGAAAAAATGGGAAATCTGACCCTTGCCCCCCTCTGAGAGGATGACATCATCACATTGTAGAATCTGAAAACCCACAACTGGTAAAAGAGACAAAGTTTCCGTTTCCGGTAACACTTTATAATAACTACACCTTACTTAGCCTTAATAAAGCATGAACAAAGACTTAATTAATAATGAACAAAGATTTAATTAATAATGATTCATGCTTAGTAAATGCTTAATAAAGCATAATTTGTCTTCACTTTAGAAAAGCTCTCAAAAAGACTTAACTAACAGATAACAGCTGCCTGAATTATCATTGCATTACATTATTAGTAAATCATTCTCTTATATCTTAATAATGATTAATAAATGCTCAAATGTTTAGTCCATGAGTAATTAAGTATGAAATAATTATGAGTAACTATTTACAGCACAGGCAAATTAAGTGCAAGTGCGAATTAAGGTAGTAATTAAGTAGTTACTGAGTGTGAATCATTATTAATTAAGTCTTTGTTCATTATTAATTAAGCCTTTGTTCATGCTTTATTAAGGCTAAATAAGGTGTAGTTATTATAAAGTGTTACCAAGTTTCCTTGTTTTGAAATATCCAAAACGTTTATTCACAAATCTTTAATGTAATATTTTTAACTTGCTGTTCCAACCAAAACCTACATTTAAACTGTATTTATTGTAGCTGCCCTCATCTGTATTAAATAATATTGACTTATAAAATGTCATCTGAATCCCAGTAATAACCGGCCATGTGTTTGTGCTGAGTTACACCTGGAGGAAGTGAACTGAGCTACAACTCTGACTGTAACTCTCTCTCTCTCAGTGTTATTTTTTGTAAAGATTGCCATTTTTTAATGACCCCATTTTGTGTTATTGATGATATGTGTTCTTAATCAGTTGTTTTTATCTGTGTCCTTCTGGAAAGCAATAGTCCTAATCATAATCCTATATATAGCAGGTGATTAGCGGACAGCGCCTTCCCATGTCAATAAAAGACAGGAGTGTTTAAAGATAACACTGACTGACCACACTGTGATGTCATCAGCACCACTCCCACGGCTTACAAGCAATGTTGTTACAAAAAAAAAAAAAAAAAGCAATGTTATTACTTAAGTAAAAGTACAGATACAGGGCCAAGAAATATCTCAAGTAAAAGTAAAAATCACATGAAAAAATCAGTTTGAGTAAAAGTATTTGTTTAAAATTGTATTTCAAGTGTAAAATTTTGTAAGATATTTAGAACAATTAAATAATGAAATGTAATGATTTTGATAAAGAATTCAGCAAATGTATTTATTTATTTTATTTTATTTGCAGCATACAACAAGCAAACAGACACATGCAGTAAGTACAATACAGAACAACACAATACAAACGCAAAACAACAGACCAGGTGTAGAGTGTGTGCGTATGTGTGTGTGTACATGTGTGTGTGTGTGTGTATGTGTGTGTACATGTGTATGTGTGTGTACATGTGTATGTGTGTGTACATGTGTGTGTGTGTGTACATGTGTATGTGTATGTGTGTGTACATGTACATGTGTATGTGTGTGTACATGTGTAACATTATGTATGTATGAGTAAGTGTGTGTGTGTACATGTGTGTGCATATGTGTGTGTGTACATGTGTGTGTGTGTGCATATGTGTGTGTGTACATGTGTGTGTGTGTAACATTATGTATGTATGAGTGAGCGTGTGAGGTTTCAGCGTCAGTAAAGATAAATGACTCAGACATAGTTTTAAAACGTGTATTGGAGGGATTGAGTCAACACTGAGAATAATGACAAGTATGAAAATGTATACAGCTACAAGTGAAGAGGAGGAGGTGGTAGAAGCTCATTATTAATTAATTAATTATTTTTTATTTAATTATTTGTTGCATTTCTATAGTGCCTTTCAAGATGCCCAAAGTCCTTCACACATCATTATTCATTCACTCGACACTCTGTGGTGTAAACTACTACTGTGGCCACAGCTACTAGGCAATGTGGGTGAAGTGTCTTGCCTAAGGACACAACGCCCCCCTGTGGCACCTGGAATTCCCACTGGTCTCCCTTCCAAGTACTAAGCAGACCTGACCCTGCTGACTTTGACAAGCTGGTATGAGCACAGTGGTCATGTTTGTTAATGAGTTGTTCAGATTGGTGTTTAAGGCTCACGTTTATTTATGTGCCCAAAAGCCTTTCCTTATATAACAGTGTAAAAATGTGTTGTTGTTGTTGTTGTTTCAGCTAATTTTAAGTGATTCAAATTATTTCTAAATTTTTCTAGTCATTCTTGTGTATTTGTATATTTA